CAGCTCCGGCCAAAGAGATCAAGCCACTTTATCGCAAAAGCTGCCGCTTCCCCGTCCTCGGGGCTGGCAGCGACTGGGGTGCAGCCATGGGTGCTCGGTGCCCGGAGCCCAGCGAGGCTGCAGGATCCCCCCCCGGATCAGGGGGGATGCCCACTGGCACTCTGCGGGGTGGCCCCCTCATGCCACAGGCTCCTGGGGAGCGTTTACACCGTTTATACAAGCAAGGGAGGTGCGAATTCCTGCTCCTGGAGAGCCAGCAGTTGCCGTTCCTTGCCTGCGCGCTCCTGGCCGCGGCACCGCGTGGCCGATGGCAGCCGTGGAGCAGCCCCGGTGCCAAGCTGGCAGGCACAGATGCCTCCCGAGGTGATTTTTTGCCACTACGAATGACCACAAATAGCATGTCTTAGCTCTCTCTGCGGCGGACTGCCTTGGGCTGGCGGTAGCGAGTCCCTGCTGATGTACACGCCCGGGTATTCACGGGGCAGAAAAAGGCCAGTCCTCAAACAAGCAAACATTGACTGTCTGGTTTCCCAGCGCTGCCCATCAGCCCCCGAGTCCCACCCCCAGCCACGCTCCCTCCGTGCGCTGAATATTGGGCAGGTTTCCTTCAGGCAGCAGCTTTCACGTAGGCCAGCAGCCAGACATTCTTGGTGCGGCGCTGCCGTCACCCTGCCAGCCCCGCTCAGCCGCTGCTCCACACCAGCACCAGCGTCACCAAAAAAAACCCCCAAACCCCAAGAGGAAACCGAAGAGTTGACACTGGGATTCTTTTAATGCAATTGCTTTTAAAATGCAGCCTTAAAATGACTTATAATGGTCAACGATTAGAAATGACAGATCTTTTTCATCTCTGCAACGTAACCGTGCAGCACCTCTGCCTCCGAAACCCACCGGCCACCGCTGTTCCTCCGTGTCATTCTCCAACTGCTTTTACAGCGACTCGCTGCCCCTTCACAGGACACACATCACACGGGGCATCCAAACCCTCCCACCAAAGGGACTCATTTGGGCAAAAAAAAGGGACATCGTTCATCCGGAGAACCTAAACGAACGGCAGCACAAGCGGCAGCTTTCTCTCTCTCACCTTACACTCAGGCATAAACCTACAAAGGTATCTGAGCCGCCAGCTCCTGTGGAAGTGAGTAAGAGCTACCGACTCTGTGGATCTGTGCCTTCATGCTATGTAAAGTGATTTGAGAACTGAACATCTGACCGCATTAACTGGCTGAACTGATGGCAGAGGAAGTTGATTTTCCAGTATCTTGCTTTTTGAGATGTAACACTACTTTGTGTATTTATTTTACAGAACAGCAGGTGCCACAGACGGCCGAAGCTTACCAATTTACGTAACTCGGGAAATTCTGTTGTAGCCTAAACATCTGTGAGAATATACCCCAGCACCACCTCCACCCAGGGCAGTGTTTATACACCGTAACAGGAGAACAGACTTTACTTGCTGAAATGCATTTAATACCTCCCAGTCGTTAGACTGAGCTTTGTTTTTCGTTCCGTGGACTTGCCACGCGGCCCCTGGGCTGTACACACTGTAGAAAGCTGATGGCATTTAAGCCACTCTTTCCTCTTCTCCATTAAAAATATGCACTGCTGCTCCACTGCAACTTAATGGTGCTCCCCTTCCAAGAGGGGAGTCGTGAGACTGCTGGGGAAGAGAAACTGCAGAAGGGCCCAGGCCACACGGACCTCCTGAATCTGCCGGTGCTGCATGATGCCGCTGCTCTCTGACAAAAGATGCCTCCCGACCGGGTGCCAGCACTCAAACGGCCCTCCCAAATCACCCCTTCGTATCAAGCTTGCATTTTACTAGTAACCTCAGAATCAAATGCAGGAAGCCAGTTTGGTCTACAGAAATACTATGCGCTTATCTCCAAATGAATTTTAAACACCTCTTTTCAAGGACAGCATTTAACAGTAAATCAGTGGGCTCTCATAGCTTGGTCTCCAATTCTGGTAATAAAACATGGATTCAGATTTGAACAGACTGGAGCTCTTCTAGAGCTTGAGCAGTAGTTCTCGCACAAACAAATGTCACAATTAGAAACTGAGCGTAGAAAGAGTCCCCAGGGGAATACGAAAAAGACATCACCTTATGAAAAAGCTTCAGAATGAACCTGTGAAATAAACAGCAACCAGACAATCGTCTTCTACAGAAGATGGAAGTAACAGTAGAAGAATAACATCTTAAGTAGTCAGTAAGTCAGTCTGAACATACAGGGGCACTAGATCCCTACAGATCTGCGATGAAAGTGCTATATCCCTACAGATCTGCGACGAAAGCTAATGGCCAAAACCAGCTGGTCCCCTCCAGTCCCAAAGGGAGACTGGGTTGCGATTCACTCTTCACCAGCTGGAAGATTGTCTTCAATCCGCCTGATGAACTTCATTCTTATTTCTGTGACGCTGTCACCCTTCAGTGTGTCCTGGACGAATTTTACATCTACGGCCATCTGAACCTAGGTGATGGAAGAGGAAAAAGAAGAGCTGTTATCTCCCTTAAAATAGCAGCTTCTCTAGGAACTGTCTGATCGTGAAGCACCAGCTTAAGGACTCTGAGGGCATGACATGCAATGCAGAGCTCTAGGGAAGCACTCATTTATTTTTCAAGATCACATCCTCCTCGTACATTGTGGCCTCCATGGTGGACAGCGGGCACCTTACCTCGGCAAATGTACCTCCTGCAGCGTAACCAGGACGCCCTGCAGAGATCAGAGCCCAATTAACCCTACCACTCAGGGCTACGCGTCCTGCTGCTCCATGTATGTTCCTCCAAAACTTCAGCTAAGCAAGATAATCAAGCCTAAATACAGACTCCTAAATTTGAGACACAGCTGTTCTCTTGTTCCAGCCCATTCCCAACTAGGGCTCATAGCAGTTACAAAGTGAGGATTTTGAAGCTTCATAAAAATTCAAGGAGATACTAGTGCTTGTACTTGCGCTCCTGCAGCTCTGCTATTCGTCAGCACCTCTGGGACTCACAGCTGCCATACACAACGGCAGCCGAGCGCTCCTGCAGCTCTGCTCTTCTCCTGGGAATGAATTTCAAGTCCAAAGCAAACGCAGGAGTCACACAGACTAGACACTAAAGGATCTGCCGATACCTTGGTTATTCATATACCTATCTCACTGGAAGAGAGACGTTGGCTCACCATTTCCAGGGCACCTCGCAGCACTCCACACAACAGGTTGGAATAGATGAGAGATGAATGGTTGTCGGGGAGCTCAACAAAGTCCACCAAGGGGTTATTTTCCAAGATCAGGGAGAACTCATCGCCTCCAGGACTCCAGTTGGTGATGCTCGGAGTGATGCCCAGGTACATTTTAAATGCTATCTGTTATGTCAAATAGTATGAACAAGAACATGTCCCATGAAGCAACAGCACAGCTTTGATCTTTGCCAAATTACTAAAGGGTTTTGAAAACACCGCGCCTTTCTCCCAATTCCCACCAGTCAGCAGTAGTCAGGGATCTAATTCTCTCTTTTTACTCCCCAAAAATCTCAGTCAAACTCTCAGAACAGTCCTGTGAGTAGCAAATACTCTATCCTCACATGCAAAACCATGACAAAACCTGACAAAGCTGTGCTTTGACAATTACCTTTGCAATAACGTCTGCAGTTTCACGGAAATCATGGCATCTTCCAACATTGGACCGGGCCAGAAAGTCTTCTATTAGCCGAACACCTATGTTGTAACCCCTGTGAATGTACCAAAGAGCAACAGCTACAGAGTGGGACGAGAGTAGCTTTAGAAAGACAGCCATTTATAAAAGAAGATAGTGGAGGAAAAAAAAATTAAATCTGAGAAATATCAGTATTAAATAAAGCTCAGTCTGCCAGGCTTTTATTCTTGGTGCAGCACGCACAGACATGCCATACTGTGAACGCGGGCTCCTAGAAGGCTCCACTGCAGCAGATCCACTTACATTTTGTCAAGCTGCTTGTTGACGTCCTCGTCATTCTCGTAGTCCTTGCACAGCTGGGTGACCAGAGCGCCATACGTCAGCGTGAAGAGCTCCGAGTTCTAGACAGAGGCAAAAGAGATTTAGCACAAGCCGAAGAGAAAACCGACTCAGCACTGCTGCATCTGTGTCCAGTGCTGCTTCCGTTGGCCCGGAGAGGGGGAACAGAAACCTGCTGTCTCAAAGGAATTTACTGCTTAATAAGGAGAGATCCCCGTTCGTATTTCGGCAAGGCAACTTCAGTCTCCTTGGAAAGAGAAATCCTCTTTGACTAGGAACGACTGAGCACTTTCTTCCTCTCCCTCTCTCCACAGCACTTCCCATTAACGTGTCCCAAATCTGACCTGAAGAGGCAAGCCAGGAGGCTGCTCGCACTCTCTGTAGCCATTCTTAGCAACTCTCGTCAGCTGCCAATTAGCATCTTTCTCTGCTTTAATGAGCACATCCCCAGATAACTGGATGGCTGCTACCAGCCACCTCCTGGATGGCTAAACGTGCAGTTGCCAGGGACCTGAATTTATTTCAGTCACTGACCCAGAGGTGAAAACTGGCTCAAACTGCTGTCTGTTTCACGAACACACTGCAAACAGGCAACACTCGTTTCTGGTCCTTTCAACAGGACAAAAAATGCTCGTCCGTTCACAGATTTATTACATTCTGCTACCAAGAAAAAACAATACTCATCTGGTCCCTAGAAAGTTATCTAGGCACATAATTTGCTTCATATATTAAAATCGGCTCCTCAGACCCGGAAGAGGAACGGCAAGGACGATTTCAGGTCAGCTCAGCAGATCTGTGTTGTGCACATCCGCTTTCTGTGCCTGGCTAGGATCAAAGTTACTTGGGCTTTCTTTGCACAGTTGCCAGATTTGCAGAAAACACCAAGGGAAGAGGTCTCTCCCAGCCACCACCATCACCGATCCTCAACCAGAACCAACTACCTCAAAGTGCATTTTCTTGGGAGCCATTAAGCCGGACCAGTGATTACGTGGTCATTAAAGGCTGCAAAACAGAAAGCTACAATAGGCTTTAGCTTTTCACAGAACGTGAAGGAAGTGTTTTCAGGAACAAATAAACCATCATAATTTATTTCTGCTCTCAGTTTAAGCATTCAGAAACATTACAGAGAGTCTAATCTCAGATTAAAAGCCTCTCACCTACCATGAGATGCATAGATGCAGAAGGTGAAATGAATGGCAAATACCAATACTACAGAATGAAAGCAGCAGGCAGGCAGAAAGGAAGGGAAAAGAGACAACATCAGAGTTAAGTGACAACACTGCTCGCACTTCATTCTGAACAAGTTTACACAAAGCCAAGACAAACACAAGGAGGAATCACTCCCAAACGGCAGCATTCAACAAACAGAAATGGGGTTTGTTAGAAGACACAGGGAATTCCACCTTGTCATTGTAAATCACCAGCCATTAGCCACCAAAAGGCTGTAAGCAGGTGAAAAGAACCAGTCAGGCTCCTTGGTACTTTTGCCCAATTTTAGATCTAAAGAATTGACGCATTCTTTGGGTTATTTTACTTACAATTCCGCCTTCATCTTGGAAAGATAAAGGTTGCGCAAGTTCACATCGCTCAAGAGCGAAGGACAAGGCAGAAGTCTCCTTTAGCTCAACTGGCAGAGTCAGACATTTGGCAGAGAATTTAACAAACATGCAAAAAAGGTTATGCTACTTTTAAGGATTTCAGTAATTTTAGTAAAGACAGGGCTTGGCAGCTGGAGAGAGTAGGGGGTGAATGGATGGAGGAAATCCAGCTGTTACCAGTCCAAGGTGCTGTCATTTACCGTGTGAAGCCATGAAGCCGTCACCTACTGTTATCAGCCCCAAAGCGTGCAAACCCAGTGCTGGTCAGTTACCGCCTGCAACGCTGCTATTCAGGTAACTTTAAAGTGTTACAACGAGGCAAACTTCTAAATTCGTATTTGTAAACGAACTCTTCATTTTCAGTCCATCTAACGGAATTAAAGTGCCTAATACTTTTTCCGTTCTTTATATTTTTTCCATATTGCAGGCTAGCGTACAGTCTCCACACTATATAACCGTTCTGTGGCTACAAAAACGTCAGAATCCTAATGACGTAACACCAATTCCTTAAATAAAAATCATTGTATTTAAGGCGTTGAACCCCTCGAAGAGAGCCCCTCGTGGCACGGAGGGGGCAGGAGCGGGCAGCTGCCTGGCCCCCCCTGAGCCTGAACCAGCCCGTCAACGCGGCCAAAGAGGGAGGAAAAACAGGTTTGATTTTTATTACTTGCTTTCGAATACTGACATCGCATCCAAAATGAATTAATTCGATCTGTTTTGACCCAGAACTAGACCTCAGCTCCGTAGTTTTGTTCTCCATCCCCTTCACGCCTCAGTTCAGCCGGACTGGTAACGCGGAGTTGGGTTAGAGAGAAGAAAAGAGAGAGAGACGCGAGAAAAGCGCCTGCGTTCTGACTGCAAAGTTTCCGTAACCAGAAGCGTCCCGCTCCTGCCTGATCCCTCATCCCTGATCCCTCATCCCTGATCCCGGCGGCCGCCCGGCTCCGCAGCACCGGGCTCTCCCCGCCCTGCGGTGCAGGTGACGGGAGCTCCCGTTGGGAACCGCTGCGGGCACCGGACGCCTTAGGCCGAGCCCGTCCCAGGGCCGTGGCGGGCTCCCGCAGCGCCCTCCGCTCCGCTCCGCTCCCCACCGCTGACGAGCGCCTCGGGC